AAGCAAAGTTGTAGAACTTTGAATTTTGAACAACTTTTGTTTTTGGAGATTTTTGAGTTGTTATGTAAATTTGGGAGTAATTTGTGAAATTTGGCGAATGACAATTCTGTAAACACGTTGAACAGTAGTCGCGGGCAGCTGTCACCGCCGGCGTGGCTTCTCCTTGCTTCTGAGCCGAGTTATAAGACCTGTGTTGTCGTCGTTCTTCACCGTTTGTCTTCCTCTGTTTTCCCGACGTCGCCGCCGCTGCTCCGTCGAGCTCGCCTCGCCTCCTCAGCGCAAACCAGCCTCGGCTAAGCTTGCCACAGCTTCGCTAGTTCCTTGCGAAACCAGTCCTCATGCAGCAGGCCATGCATCAGCAGTAGATCCTCATGCAGCAGCAGCTTCTTGGATTTATGCAGCATGTAGCGACAGCTATTGGGGCTCCACCGCCACAGTCTACGCCCTAGCTTGGTCCGACTGCCACCACTACTATGACTCCAGCATTACAGCCTAGTGAGCTTCAGAGTTAGGGACAGCCACCAGCACAGTTTGCTTCGCCTATAGAGCAGGTGTCCCAGTGGTTTCCTACGTGAGGGCTAGCCCCGTAGTTCACACCGTTACGTACGGGCTTCACATTGGCTGAGACGTCATCGCTGCTAGTGCTAGAGATCTCAGTGTCCAGGAGCCTTGGTGCTTCCTTCAGTGAGTTGATAGGGCAGCCTACTCCTTCATATCTACATGTCCCAGGTCCTTCTATAGTTGCACCTGTTACCGGGACTACAGAGACGCTCCCTTCATCAGTGGCATCATCAGAGTCGGCTGCTTTAGTTATACCAGCACAGCCTATAGCCGCACCAGTTGTTGATCCGACCCAGACTGCTACAACATCACTTTCACCTTTAGAGGGTCAAACAGCTCAGAGCTCAGGATCAGATGATGATGGCACCTAGTTCCACCTCGCTCGCACCTCAGCGCCCGACATGTTCGCTGCAGCCCCGCCGACCGACCCTTAAGTTTTGGTGTTTGACTCCAAAGAGAGAGAGGGATCGAGTATGTAGACTTAGGGGGAGAGACATATCTAGGGGGAGCTTAGTTATTATTTTAGCTTATCTATTATATTTGGAGTTTTTATGTGTGATACACTATTATGCATTCGTCATGTGTTTACTCTTATGCATTAAAACTATATTTATGTGATAGTGATATCTACGTGATCGTGATATATGACATATGTGCTCTCTACTTTGGATTATTTATATGTCATATCACTTGTGCTATGCTCATTTGATTTGCTTCCGCGTTTTTACTCCGATGCAAATGAGCTTTATTACTTGTACTCATGCCTATTTCATATCCTTGGAGTACATTATATTGGCTTGGGTCATATAAGCTTGCCTACCACTTTTGTTCTTATTGACAAAAGCTTATATGATCCAAGCATGTTAAAAACCTCAACTCTTTCACATACTCGAGTTAGTATTGTCATCAATTACCAAAAAGGAGAGATTAAAAGCATTTATGCCCCTAGTTGGGTTTCGGTGATTAATGACAATATAAGATTACTATGACTAACGTATGTTTTGCAGAGGCAATTAAGTTAGGTCACGGTAATGGAGATCGATTGGGCATTCATGGTTGTCATGCCCCTACGATGGAAATCGTTTCAGTTTTTAAAGGATGGACGACAAGGTTAAGGATGGACTAGTTCTAAGTGTCGATTGGAGTTGGAATGACACTTAGAGTAGTTTAGGACTTGTTTTTTCCTTTGGTCGTACTATTAAGAAGGTATGGACGGGTAGCTTGACCTAGGTGAGTTAGTGAGTTAGGTGTGGTGCACACTAGTTAAAACTAGCGCTAGGTAGCTCCTAAATATGCCTAAGATCCAATGGAGCAAACTCCATTCACGTATGATCGAGAGTTGGAAGTGAATGGGGGGTCAAATACTGACCGGACGCTGGCTTCGGTGCGACCGGACGCTGGCGCAGAGTCCGGTCAGTTCATTTGACCGAGGAGATTGCGTTCGGTGCGACCGGACGCTGGAAGGTCAAGTGACCAGACGCTGAGAGCCGGCGTCTGATCGTTTACAGTAAGGTTCCAGAGAGGGAAAATCACGACCGGACGCGTCCGGTCACACTGTAAACACTTAAACTCGGGGAGAACTGATCGGAGAGTCCGGTCATCATGACCGGAGCGTCCGGTCACCCCGCAGAGGCACATAACGGTTTGTTTTTCAGCCCATGTTATAAATAGAAGCTCCACTCGTGTGTGGTGTGCTTTTGCTCATTTCAACAGCTGAAACACACCTTAGAGAGTACCAAGAAGAACAAGGTCCTAGTGAGGTGATTGAGATTTGAGAATCCCAAAGAGAGCCCTCATTAGCACGATCAAGAGTAGCAAAGTGTGCATCCATCTTTCTCCCTATGCTTGTCGTGGTCAAGTGAGAGTTCGTGCTTATTACTCTTGGTGATCGCCATCACCTAGACGGCTTGGTGGTGATTGGGAGCTTGGTGATCATCCGGAGAGCTTGTGGATAATCCAACTCAAGTTGTGAGCGGTTGTGGGTGATTCACCGCGACAGAGTGTCGAAGAATCAACCCGTAGAGAGCACTTAATCCTTGCGCGGATCACGGGGGGCAACACCCTTGTGTGGGTGCTCCAACGAGGACTAGTGGAGAGTGGCGACTCTCCGATACCTCGACAAAACATCACCGCGTTCCTTCTTCTCTATTTACTTTGAGCATTTACTTTGAGCATTTAATTTGAGCAATTCAATTTTTGTCTTTACATTCATAGAATTGTCATGCTAGAGTAGGATTAAAACTTAGGTTGCAAGTCTTTTGTGCGGTAGAACAAATAGAAACATTTTTTAGGCACAAGGGGTTAAATGGGCTAACCGTATGATTTAATTATTGCAAAGAAATTTAGAATTAGCACAATTTACCCCATCTTGGACATCTTGATCCTTATTAGGAGTGTACCCAATGTTGGTGTGGTCGCGATGGCGGGGTTGACGACGATACTGTTGCGTACCGTTCGTACCCTGCAAGTATAAGACATGCAAGTCATTGTTAGTTCATACAGGCTTGGTATTAAAAATATATCTTTGTTAGTACATATTCGTCTCCTTATGGACACCACTTAGGCCTGTTGACGAAATTTTTTAGGAAATGGTAATATAACACTTTCATTGTTATTTGGCAATTAGTGTCCAATCATAGTCTAATTAGGCTTAAAAGATTCGTCTCGTGAATTTCGTCTAAACTGTGTAATTAGTTTTATTTTTTATTTATATTTAATACTTCGTGCATGCGTCCAAAGATTCGATGTGATAAAAAATTTTAAAATATTTTGCAAAATTTTGAAAACTAAACAGCCACTTAGCCGAGAAATACCAATCTCATCCCGTTGCCGAGGGTCTCGCTGGCACGGCGAGGTTCCTCGACACCGGTCAGATTTGAAACTAGTTTAAAAGTTTAAAAAAGTGTTAAAATTTTCCGTCCGAGCAGGTTGTCAGCGCGACCGCGGCGGCGAGGGCTCCAGCAGCGAGGCAGCGGGCCGGGGGGCGCCGCGTCTGAGCGGCTTGGCAAGAGAAGGTGCGGGCCCAGGGGTGCCGCGGCTGTGAGAAGGGGGCAGTGAGCCGGCGACGCTGGTGCAGTCGGAGCGGCCAGGATCGAGGAACCTCGCCGTGCCGAAGTCCGCGACCCGCGGCTCGTTGTCTGGTTACAGCAGCACGTCACGTCGCGGTAGATCTTCGGCCGCGAGCAGTCGTGGTGCAGGTACGCCAGCGCATTCGCCGGCCCGTCGATGACGCGCGCCCGCACGGGCTAGTCGAATAGATCACAGACTCGCAGCCGCGGCCGGGCCCGTAGCCCCGTACAGCACCTTCCCAAGGCTGCCTCGCTCTACCAGCTCGTACGCCAGGTACATGTGCCCGCCCATGGTGCTGAAGCCGTGGACCCTCACGATGTTGCGGTGCCGGACGCGCGTTCCCGCAGCACGCGTCGCCGGTCTCCGAAGCGTCCAGCGTGCTCCTCCGGCGGCACCTCCTCTCGGCGGCCGCGGCCGCGGACGGCGGCGGCGGGCAGCAGCACCCGGCCGCCACGCGCGCAGGCGCTGTCCTTCGTGTCGGACGCGCTCGACACCGCCGCCTCGGGCTCGCCATCCTTGTCCCCGTCGTCGCTCCGCGCCGCGGAGCGCCTGCTGGACCCGCGCTGGCGCGCCATGAGCTCGCGGTCGCGCCCACCGCCTACGAGGCGCTCTTTGCGCCGCGGCTGCTCCCCATCATGCGCCACGCCTCGGCCACCGCGGCCATCGTGGCCAAGGCCAAGGACGACGACAATAGATCGGAGTATGGGACGAGGCGACAGCTGCGCCAGGGTGCACCAAGCGTCGCCTCTGGGCCGGCCTGGCCGCGCCTAACGTTGTTCCTAACTGCGAGTGACGGAAAATGGCAACGGAAGCGTGAATTTATTTCGATGGCAGCGAGGGAATTTTGAAAATTTTGATGGCAAAGAAGTGCTATATAGTTTTCACAAAAAGGGCCGCGCCCGTGCGTGGGGTCAGTTCCTGGAGCCACGTGTCTTGTACTGGTACCTGACGGGTCGCAAACGCTGATCCTGCTGTCGTTGCTCCGTGTGGGTGTGGGTGTGGGTGTGGCCTGTGGCCTGTGGCAGCTCGCCCGCTCCAGCCCGGCCGAGCCGAACGGGCGTGCGCCATGCCCATGCGACCCCTTGACGAGCAACGACAGCCACAGAGCCCGACAGGGAGGAGGGTCGCTACCACCTATCAGCTCACCCCAGCTTCAGCACCACACGCCGCCGCTGGCCCGCCGCCCCCCACCTCCCTCCCGTTACTCGTGGTGGCAGACGGACCGACAGGCACGCGCCTCTCTTGTGGGATGCTACTACGGATAACGTGCGCCCAGCCCGCGCCTTCCGCGGCGGCCCGGTTGAGGCTGCCTAGGCGTGCGCGGCCAGCGCCGCGTTTACGCCGACGCTGCGTCGCTGCTTCTGCGTCGGATGGCGCCGGCACTCCAAGCTCTCCGGTACAGTGAGCACAAACCTCCGATTTCGTTTCGAAGTTCCTTTTTCTCCCGCAATTCCTGGAAGGTCTGACTGTTGGAGCCGTTTCTCCTTCTTGCTACCGTGGCAGCTCCACTGCAACCATTTGGCCGACCTCCTGGGTCCGGACGTCGAACCCAGCGGCTCACGCTCACAGTACGTTTTTTTTCTCCTTTTGATTGACACTATGCCACTGTGTGTGTTCGACTGCCCGTGCTGGTTAGGTGATCGGAGAATTGTGAATTGAGATTATAGATGGGCCGTGCAGTGGCCTTGAAGATGACACGCACAATTTGTGTATGATTGAACTGTCGAAAAATCACTCAATTTCGTCATTATGCAATTTGTCGGAATAAGGATATCTATTTGCACAGATAGACTGTACTTAAAACATGCTGCTTCATTGTTCAACCTATCTATGTACTTATTTTAATAGATTTGGGTGTGTCATGGTACAGTTTTTGCATAGAGTTGTATCTCTAGTGGGGGACTGAAATGGCAACAGGGTTTGGATATTTTTAGCGCATATCATCAAAGCCTTTATGATTGAGAATTTGAAGTTTGTATTCATCTAGAAAACGAGTGCAGATTTTGACACTTTATTAGCTTTGATTTTTCATTGCAGGAGTACAGCTCCAATTACAGAGAAGGGAAAACTGAGGTCTTGGGTCGGTCCAAATGGGCAGTACTACCGTGAGCTGCCCTGCCCCAGCTGTAGGGGTAGAGGTTACACTCCATGCAAGGAGTGTGGAATAGATAGATCAAGTTTGGACTGCCCTATGTGCAATGGCAAGGTGAACCTTCCAGATATCTTGTGAGTCATCATGGAGGAGAAAAATATAATCCTATTCCTATACATGTAAATTTCGTGAACTTACAAATTCATGCTATGAAATTGTATCAGGGGATTCGAATGTGTCTACAATGTAGTGGAGAGTGCGTGATATGGCAGGAATATGTTGATGAACAGCCATGGGAGAAAGTTCGGTCCAGGTACCCTTTTCTACTATATTTGTTATGTTCACCTTGCCCCTTGTGATTTGCTGTTTCTCTCAGCAGATCGACTGCATATTGTTTCCCTGAAAATCTTCAAGGTTTAACTAAGACTGCATTATGGCTTTGAATTGTCGAACCCATCAGCATTCAAGTATTTTTTTTTTGAAGACGGCATTCAAGTATTTTTAGTAACTTTTACTGATGACTGAAGTAACATTACGTGATATGGTTCTTATACACAGCAAATCGAAAGATATCCTTTTGGATTCCTGTGCATACATGTGTTCGAGAAAAATATTCCTGTGCATACATTGTCATATATCCTTTCTGTATTTGCTATTTGCAGTTCTCCTTTGAAAGTAAAAGAAGATGACGAAGTTGACAAGTTAGAGATAAATATCAACAACCCCAAAAGATCAAAGCGTACTTATGCATCACCTTCACCGGAAGTTGCCATCAAGATTAGCCGATCTTTAAGAGTAAGTAATATTTTCTACACATCTGTACACATGCGACTGTACCTTGTCATCCATAATTTATATGGGTCTACAAAACTTATATGCACCACTAACACAGAAATACTTAAGTAAATCCCTGTACACCTGGTAACCTGATTACTAACAATGTAGCCCTGTTCCTTCTCTTTGATACTAAAACATTTCAGCTCTACGAACTTTCTTTGTAATTGTTTTCTTTTCTTGTGACTTTTAAATAGTCTTAAATATTAATTGCAGAGTCTAAATGCTCAAACAGGATTGTTTACTAAGCACATGAAGCTTATACACCAAGACCCCGAATTGCGTGCTCAAAGAGTTGCTGCAATCAAGGTAAGATGCCATGCAAAGTGTTTCATTGGTGTGTTCTTATTAAATGCAGTAGTTGATCTGGGCATGTTTGTTTTTCCCCAATGCTATTGAACATGAAGAGAACAAAAGGTACTGCTGCTGCAAGAAAGCGTGCTTCTGAAATTCAAAAGGCATTCTTCAGTGATCCTGAGAACCGGCTCAAGAGAAGCATTTCCATGAAAGGTTAATGATATATCTTACCTTTAACTCAGAAGACACATAAAAGGGCGTACCCAGTGTAGAGAGTTCCCGCTCTGTGCGGGGTCTGGGGAAGGGTGTTAGTGGCAAGCCTTACCCTCGCCTGTGCAATGCGAGGAGACCGCGACTCGAACCCGGGACCTTCCGGTCATAGGCGGTAAGACTCTACCGCTTGCACCAGGCCCGCCCTTCTAACTCAGAAGACACATATCAAAATTGATTAAGTTTCACCCAGTTTGACTTCTAGCCAGCTAGAACGTACTTGTTGTCCTTACATTCTTAGTTAGCATTTGGCCTTGTACATATACTCCTTCCTGTATCAATAAGTGATGTGTTTATATTGGATGGTCCTCAAACTGTCTAGTATGGAGTTGCTGTATTAGCACCAGAATTACCCACAGTTTTACCTTATTGCCTTTTTTTCCTTACTGGATTGTTTTAGTTTTGATCAAATTTATTGACTTGACATTTTATGAGAAACATTGCAACCTGATGCTTTGCAGGGGTGAAATTTTACTGCAGCAAATGTGGACAAGAAGGACATAGAAGCTTTTATTGCCCTACAGCGAGGAAAGGTTCAACCAGGCTGCAGTTCAGGTGCCGGTTGTGTGGCGGAGAAGGGCATAATAGTCGGACATGTGGAAAACCAAAGTCCGAGAAAGAGCACCAACAACGTCCTCGGCACTGCAGCCGATGCGGTGAAATGGGACACAACCGGCGTAACTGCCCCACATCCACCGATGTGGGCATTGGTGCTTCAGGCTATGTGGTTAACAAAGTTAATAGTTCTAACTCAGCTGTTTATTCATGTAGTCTCTGTTTAGAAAAGGGGCATAACAGACGAACATGCCCAAAAAGAAAGGCTACCTCAGTAAAATGAAAAGTGTGAGTTGTTAAAATTGCATACTAATCGAGAGCAATCATGTGAAAGACCTGCTATATATTAGTTTCCCACACACCCTGTCAGTGCAGTTGCCTAATAAATTTTTCCACAAAGATGAGGACAAATGTTTTTTTTGGATTTGGCAGTTGAAAGAAACGGAAACAATTTTCTAAACTGACATAAAAATGTTAAAAATGGATTCTGAATATGAACCAAACTTTCTTTTCATAAGAACAGTGGAATGTAGAAATCAAATGTGGTCAAGTGATGAAAAGGAAACCTGTTCTACAGAAATAGTCTTTGGCCTTGTTCGGCCGGTGCTAAAAAAGCACTGTTTATGGATGAAATTTACTGTTCACGGATGATATCCTCTCACAAATTCCTCCAGATTTAACTTGTTTGGTATTTTGTCTTCATTGCATAATTTGAGCTTTCGCCATAACTCTGGCATGTTTGCAATGCTACTCTAAAGTCATCCTTTGACTATTGTTAAATGACACTCTTGAAACCCCATGTTATCACTGACCTCCAGTATGCAGGAACAAACCTAACTTGTCTGGAATACCTCCATTGAAGAAGCGATCATATTCATTAGCTTGTGACTTAGAAACATGCTCTGTGATGTTCCCTCTTGTTCTGTCGGTGGCATCTGAATTCTCTTTGAACTTACTGCCAGAACACAGATGATTTAAGGGTTAATTGGATACACACCACCGTAATTTTCACGATTTTGAAATATGCCATTACTCTTCGCCTAACTGGGCTGGTGCCATTACAATTTCGCAAGAGTTTGAAAGACGCCATTATCTACGCCTGACGCCAACGCGGACTGTGTTGTATTTCCGTATGGACCGTTCTGCCCTCCCGCGAAAGGATGAGCCCACGACGATCAGTTCGTCTGTCCATTCCCACACTTGCTGAACTCGATCGATGTCTTATCAAAAAAAAAAAGAATTCGAGCAGCGACACTGATGCTGTCAGTACATGCATACATCGTATTGACATGTCAAGCACAGATACAACATTTCCAGAAATAAAACATGCATTTTCATGCACACATTTCCAGAATTAAAACATGCATCTTCACTTTTCCCTTTGAGCATAGCTCCTGAACATGCATTTTCGTACAAACTGAACATTGTTCGCAACATTCCAAAAGTAAAGATGGAAAGATTCCACCAGTCCACATGCATAGTTCGCAAACATCCTACTTAACATCCATACAGATTGGTTCATAGTTCCCCAAACACATCAGGTCACTTACAAAACACACATTGGTTCACTTAGACCAGCAAATTCATAGAGAACACATCAGGTCACTTAGACCAGCAAAAGCTCCAGAAAAAACAGCATCTACTCCACGCCGAGCCAACTCTTGAGGCTTCTCACCACTCTTGCTTCAGGAGCACTTGCAACCCTCTTTAGCTTCTTCTTTACAGGAGTCTTCTTCTTCTTAGGCGCCTACTTGTTTGCGCTTGTCTTCTTCTTCTTCTTTTTTGGTGTCTTGCTCGGTCCTTCATCTTCTTCTCTCACCCTGTAACAGATGGCTATCAGTTAAACATTCCTTGCCCATTTACATTGACAAGCGAATCAGGAATTAGAAATGTACCTTTTAAGTGATGCAAGTGTAGCTGTCTCATCAATACCATCATCATCTTCTGTGGTTCAAAGAATTTGCGTGTCTTCTCAAAGTGCCCAAAGCCTTTGCACCTTTTGCATTTCACTTTCCTTTTGTTTGCCCTTTCTTCCATACTCCCTCTGATCCCGACAACTCTAGGTCTGCATGCTGCCCTCTTCTGCAGAGGTGGAGTACAGTTTGTATCCTAGTTCCACCTCGGGCCAGATCAGCCCTATCGTGCATGGGTGGAACTCACATCTGCATATGCTGCTCTGAACACAGCAACAGAGTAGTATTCGTGCACAAAATCCTTGATTTCCAAGCCTCTGTGGACAGGATCCAAGCAAGTGCATGCCTACAAGGTTTTCCTGTGACTGCCATACCCTACAATGTTGCACACTTATGATTGACTAGGTCCATCAGTATGCCTTTTGGTGTTGTTCCATTCATCAATAAGGGTAACCTCAAAGAAATTCTTCATCATCACTTATTGCAACTTTGACTAACCTCAAGTGTTTGCTAATTAGGTTCAGCTCCTTGGTAACACTTGGCAAAATGCCTTCACCCATTTCTCTACCAACCTTTCTCCTAAGAAACCTCTTCTCCATTATCATCTCCCCGAGCCCATCAACTAACTCATGTATGAGCAGCCCTTTCATGTCCCTCACACGACTATTGAAGCTCTCGACACATTGTTTGTCAAATAATCACATTTACTATCCTCTCGAGAACCCAAAATTATACCAGATTCGGTTGTGGTGATCTTCCAAGTACTTAATTGCTTCAGAGCAAAATCATGTATCTTCTTCAAGTGCCACTTGAACAGCCCTTGATGTAAGCTTCTAGCGGCTAGATAGAGATGAGTTGTGAAAACATCTCCGTGTAATGCTTCATGAAGTTGGAATATAAATGCCTCATGCACTCTCTCTCAGACTCGACCTCGAAACACAAAGACCAACGCTTTCTCCAAGCCCTTACATGCATCAATACAAATCACTAGTCCATTTGGCCTCCCAACAGCCCTTCTCAATCGATGCATAAACCACGTCCAGCTTGTCCTCATTTTCACAATCAAAAATACCATAAGCAATGTAATATAACCAGTTATGTCCATCAATTCCTCATGAGCAGATGCCAACTGTCCCGTGTATTTACCATTTAGACTTGAGGAATCTACACCAATGAATGGCCTACAACTAGCTATAAACCCATCCACACATGGTTTGAGAGCTACAAATATCCTCTTGAACCTGTTTTTCTTGCCTACTTTCTCCACATCTATCTCTACAATGCTACCAGACATGTTATCTCCATCCGAGCTTTCCAATTAAATAATAATTTGAATGACTCTTCATATTTACCATGAATATGCTTGCGATGCACCGTGCATGCCCGAATATGCCTTCTTGTATTTGGCGTTATTCCATAGTCTCCCTCAACCTTCTCCATGGCTACCTTTCAGCCGGTTGCTTGGATTCTTCTTCAACCAGTCTTGTAGTCTATCTGCCACCCAGTCTTGAGAAGCCATTTTTCCTACAACAAGCTTCTTGCTTGGACAATTGTGTTTTTCTGGCATGGACTTAATCTGAATAAATGACAAGCATGAATAAGTAGTATGCACATCCAAACTGAATTAATACAAGGATACAGGAGCAAGTTTATACCTGTATAGTTTTCTGATCATGAATCCTTGAAGCATGAATACGCCAAGGACAACCAGGGTGCTTACACCTTGCAATATACCTGGTAGGGTCAGTCTTGATGCTAGAAGCAAGCTCAAAACCTGTCTTCACTGCATAGTGCCTCACTGCTTTCCTGAAGGTGATTATGTCAGGAAATAAGGCACCCTTCTCTATTCTTGGGTTCTCAGGATCATGGAGGACCCTTATCTCATCAGATCTCAGATCAAGAACCTCTCCTCTCGGAGGTATACCTCCTTCAAAGCAATGACATCATTTTCATTGGCATCATTAGTAGGCATAGATGAATCTGTTTGCACATTCACAGATGGTTGTGCAGGTGGAAGTGAAATGTACATATGCTCATCATTGACACCAACATACTCTTCTTCATTATCAAAGATGTCGATACTTCTTCAAAGAACACCTTGGGATTTTTAGGCATTGTTGGATCAGTTGTGGTTCTCGGATCAATAGGTTGTGGTGGTTCAGTTGCATTAGCGGACGGTGCTGCATTCCTAGATCGGGAAGGATAAGGTCTAGTTGTAGTTCAAAGATAAGTAGCGAGGCTTTAGTGCTGGATTTATGTCACTAGAAGCACACACGTGGGTTGTTCCCACACAATTTTATCCATCACAACTACAAGGACTTGGCAATGCATCTCGACTTATACATTTCAAACATGTTTTGAACCGGACATCATCTACAAGCATTATAGCCTCACATAGAGTCTTGTCAAAGAACCAAATTGTGCCCTTTTGGTTAGAACTACAACCGACCTCACTTTGGACACCCTAGAAAGCAACAAATCAAAGGTAACCGTGCCGAGAGCTCCACATCCCGATTAACAACCCTTCCCTTATAGTAAGATTTTTTCCCATCACTTTCTTTTCATCATAAAGGCCTCAACTTTGATCTCTAACGAAAAACATCCTAGCACAAAACAAAGGATAACAAAGCAGTCATGGCTGAATTGGAACACTAGAAATAATGCAACAACAAGATATGTAGAATGCAAACCTAATTCTGAATGAAATTATGCAACTTTCAAATGAGATAAAGAGAAACTGATCGGATTGATTCCTACTAGCGATGAAACAATACACTTTGTGACGTAGGCTAACCAACCATACAACTTTTGGCTCCATCTACCTAAAAGGTATCTCGACAGAGTGACAAGAGTCTTGGATTGTATTGAACACCTATTCTCTACATGCTTGCCAACGAGTATTTGGTGTTCCCAAAGAAGTTAGCAAGAGTGAAATCTTCTTCCTCGTTCCATTGAACAAGAAAGAGGTGGTGACCGCAGCTAAATCTATTGGAACAAAGTGAGTACCAAGAGTCGACTCGGTCCCAAATCATCAATGAGTATGGGTGATGCTTGAAACAACATACCTAGAGCCGTTCATGGTGAAGTCGTCGACGATCGAGCGAGCCGCCAGGACCTCGGGCGCCGCCGCCGTTGGCGCAACGAACATCATCGCCGCCATCGGACCGCCGCCACAGCCCCTCAACCTTCATGGATCATGGAGCCCCACTCCTCCTTCTCTAGAGACCAAGTCCGTCGCCGCCGCCGCCAGCCGCCTCACCATCGCTCTCGAGTTCTAGGGTTAGGGATTGGGTTGGGGAAGAGAGTGAGGAATG